GTTTGTCACGAAACCTGAAAGTATCTGACTCGATTACTGAGATGGTTATGAATATACAATACTAGTGAAACAATCATCCAATGTTCCTCAACTCTATTTTACAAATGATATTTTGTTTGTTTTCTTTATCTTTCAATTTTCATAAGACTGATTTTGAAGTAGTTTTCCGTATTGTGAGTTTACCTATTCCTAATGGCTGCAATTTTCAATGATTACCTAGCCAAAGTAAATTTATGATTTAAATAACAAATGATTTCTCTCTGACTAAACTGTAATCAAATTCCGGCTCAGTGGTCTAGTGGTTAAGCGCTCACGCGCAAGACTGATAGTTCCTGGGTTCGGATCTCGTGAGGTGGAATCGTGGATGCGCACTGCTGAGGAGTCTCACAACAGGACGAAACGGCCCTAGAGTACTTCTAGGTTTCCCATGTTGGTGTCTAACTTCAATTGACTCATGAATTCAACTATTCAATAAATTTAAAGCAATTAGTCCCTTTGATAAATTTCGATAATGTAATAAGAAGACGAAGAATTATGTAATATATTAGCACAATATATAAAAATAAAAGTTCAACTAGACTGGAAACAGGGTAAGAGGAGATAGGAATAATAATAAGAGTAATAATAATATGAACACAATTCGAAACCTAATCACTCTGGATAATAAGTCAATATTAGGGTGTGTGAATATGTACCAAAATGGTTGCACAAACAAATACAATCAAATGACCCAATAAAGAGTAGATGATAAACATCCATCATCCTCTATTGCTAAACACATAATTGGAACAGGCCATAAGGTTGACCTAAACTCGGCTTTTGTATAAAGGTGTAAAAGGGTGTATATTAAGGTTTATTGAAGCCTTAACCATACGAAAATTCAAACTCCCTTTGTGTGTTCAAAAAACAGTTTGTTCTTACCTTAAACCTACCCTGGTAATATTGACTTATTATCCAGAGTGATTAGGTTTCGAATTGTGTTCACAATATTATTATTATTATCCTTATCTCCTCTTACCCCGTTTCCAGTCTAGTTGACCTTTTATTTTCTGTATATAAATATTCTTAACAAGTGTCTTATGTGTGATCAGATTGTTCGAAATCTATTGCACAAATCTATCATCACATAATTCTCATAATCTTGATCTTCTTATTACATTATTCAATAAATATCAAAGAATCATGCCTAAACCGAATGAACAAAGTAACCCCATATTAAAGATAAACGTGCAAACGGAATCACACATTACTCTTATAAATAAACATGCATACAATTATTTGACTTTTATTATCGATATAAAGTACATTTTTCTGAAGATGACCTCATATCAGATATTAGGAAGATAATAATTACAATACACATACATTTGACTATATGAACTGGAAAAAAACAAACATGAAAGAACAAAAGTACATATTCAGTTCATATTAGTGTTATTTAAGAAATAGACAATTCACCTTCATCTGAGTAGTCACTGTCCTATTTTTCTAGTCTAGGATATCTATCGATTATATTGAAATGTGATCATCTATTTAATTAGCTTGACATTTTCACAGGTTGAAATCATGAGTCAGTTGAAGCTAGACCATCATTGAAAACCTGGAAGCACTGGACGGCCGTTTCGTCCTGGCATGGGACTCTTCAGCAGTGCGCATCCACGATCCCGCACCACGCGGGGCTCGAACCCAGGACCTACTGGCTTCGCGCGCGAGCACTTAACCACTGAGCCGGCATCCAACGGTGTTAATGTCTAACTTCAACCAATCAACGAAGTTGCGCCACCGTACACCATTGTCTTCAGTGAGTTGTTATCTCACAACAGACCGGTTGAACTCCACTGGTAACGACTTCTCACTAGAACTCCAGAAGTGTCTCCTGAAGTCAGTCACTAGTGAGCAGGTGATTGTTATTATCGGAATGTGTTTTGTGGAGATTTTTAGAAATTTTCACAGATTGAACTCATGAGTCAGTTGAAGCTAGACCACCATTGAAAACCTGGAAGCACTGGACGGCCGTTTCACTAATCAATCATGTACAATATTACCCAGTCTAGCAGGTTAGTCACTATTTGAATAGATCAATGATTAAGTGATATAAGCTCTAATCGCAAAAGGATACATCAATAACTTACAGATAATATATGAGTTCTACTGACTAACAGGACACCTGATAGTTCATAAACCTTACACTTTATAAGCAATGATGGATAGTGGTTAGCAGTGGAATTCAGTGTGATGCGCGTTTCGTCCTATTTGAGACTCATCAGCTGATTGAGCCTGCATCTCAGAGTTGATGTTCACTCTGGGACTCGAACCCAGTACCTTTTGCTTTAAACGCCATTGCATTATCCACTTAACTAGTGAGTCCTGTTAGCCAATCTGAGATGCAGGTACATCCAGGTGACGAGTTCCAAATACGACGTAACGCGCGTCAAACTGAATTCCACTTCTAGCCACTATCCATCTTTGCTAAGAATGCTTGTGAATTTAGGCAATACGCACACTATGCATATATGTCAATAAGAGACTGATCAATTGCGGTCCTTAACATCAATGGGAAGATTCAAGTAAACAATACCAAGTGAATCTAACACTTAGTTGAATGACATACGTTGTCCATCTAGAACTAATTGACCAATACAAGAGCATTCATGTAGAAAATATTCTACTACAGATCAACCTCGATGCTGTAAAATTACAGTTTATATAATAAAAGCACTGATGTTCATTTTAACGAAAACGTCCATGGGAGATGACCAGGTGATTTCATCTTTCGGATTGTAGGGCCAGTGAAATGTTACTAAGCCGTAGCCAAATCATCCGGCAGTTGGGTCACTGAATATGGAACAGATAATCGATTCCACGTCCACGTCAACAATAACCTACGCGTATCGATTAGTCGTACACGATGAACTGACCAATGCGGTGGTGGGCTCACTATCTTATCTGTACTCTTTCTTACAAATATATTTCCGTAGTAACGTCCTTTGTGTTATACAATCTTCAAAACAACCATAGTACCTTGGTAAGACGAAGAGGTAGTCCAATTTAGGTGTTGACCGCGAGATGTAACTTCGACGTTAGCTGGTTGGTCACACCATTCTCATCTAACTCGTGTAGGCCCCCAGTCATTCAACAAAGATCATCTACGTTGGTGATCTACAGGGTCAAATAAAGGTTGGTTACTGAGTTAGACTGAAAAGGAATGTGTTCTCAGATAATATATATATAGGCCGATAAAAGTACATGACTGGATTATTCAACTTTTCATCTAATCATCTGACTTAATGTACGTCAAGTAACCTGAATATAAGCCTAGATTCTAATTTATATAGAAGAATGACATCTCGTTATATATAGTATTTTCGTGATGTGATTCTGTATCCATAAATAAGCCATAGAAATACTACAGAAATGTGTGAGATTACATTCTGGTTGAACGACTAACGATATCACCTTACTTTATTAACTATGCGAAGAAATACATTGATTCTCATCTAAACACTAGTAGCAGTATAGTCTGTTCTTGTTTAAGAACTAAACCACACATGAACTGTTATATTTTCAATGGTAATTTGGTTTATTAGTGTCAGTTCTATGCATTAGGAGTACTCGATCTCCAGGTAAGTGGAAGGCCTAAGCTTATGGATTTTTGAGCGGGATACCAACAGTTTGGAAAACTGAAAACTTTTTGAAACGACCGTTTTCGAAGCGTTATAATTGATGCAATGCGAGTAAATTATTCAGACACATACGTCAATACCAGGCTCGTTGTGAAGTGGAAGCTGATACGGCCGATGCATTGTCCTTACTAAACGAAGTTTACTTAGGTGTACGTTTGAATACACATGGTCAATATTCCTCGCAACTTTTCTCTAGGTACTGTACAGCTTCACAAAAAGATATCTTCATTCGTTTCCTTACGTGTAAGTGGGACAGTAATTTGTCTACAAAAAGAAAACTATTAATCTCGCCACTGAAGATAAATACTACGGACTCCGTATTTGTGATTACAATGAAAATTACACAATCTATGTAATTTAAAAAGATGCATGCAAATAATGTAAATCCTTTAATCAATCTGTTACCTTAAAACAATTGTATCTTAATAGTTAAGGGCAAGCATTGTACTGTTCAGTAAATCTCTTTAACACCTATTTTATACTTATGCTATTGTACTTTAGTTGGAAGAGTTGTTACTGGTGGAGTTGAGATATTTCAAGAATGAAACAGTCACCACATGTGGAACTGGACAACTGTCGCAATATGCCGTAGATCGATTGACGTTAAAATTGTCCAAAAGGATTCCGACTCAGTTTATTTATTTAAACATATAAACATTGGTACAACGAGGCATCAAATAGATATGCGCCACATAAATCATTCGATTTATATGAAGGCTTGGTTAATACCCAGTGATTCTGATAGTAAGGCATTCGCAACAAGATTTGAAGGATTTTGGTCTTTTCCTAAATGGGTGCCTGGTACAAAGAGGTCCCATACTATAACGCTTCTTGATTTTCAATGACACCACAAATAAAACCGATCTTCGACGTATACAACCTATAAATCATATTCTTAGTTATTTACTGCTCCTATTACAGACAAAGATAATTCCGTGGCATACTCGAAGATGCATATACATAGGAATGAATTCTTTAAAATATAATCATGAACACGTTTATGTTGTTTACTCATTATCTATCATGTGATCATTTGTTTTCTTTTTTCTTTTTAGAAAACATGACTTACTATCACGTTGATAATAACACGAATTGAAATTGTTTCGTACGCATAAACTCACTCACTCACTCACTCACTCACTCACTCACTCACTCACTCACTCACTCACTCACTCACTCACTCACTCACTCACTCACTCGCTCACTCACTCACTCACTCACTCACTCACTCACTCACTCACTCACTCACTCACTCACTCACTCACTCACTCACTCACTCACTCACTCACTCGCTCACTCACTCACTCACTCACTCACTCACTCACTCACTCACTCACTCACACTCACTCACACTCACTCACACACTAAGGCTACTACAACGATAAGTGTAAGATTAAAAAAAAAGAAAACACAAGGTAATTACTTTGATCCACAATGTCTGTCAAAAACATGATTTATATATATATAAATGTGTGTGTAATGCAACATGAACATGGTAATTGAAGCATATTTCAGTGTTGTAAAGTTCTTGTTGAATGTACTTATGAAACACTAGTGATGATAAGTAAATTAATGATAATAATGAAGTACATACATAGACACTATTGAGTTATAAAGAATATAGAAGAAAGCAATACAAAACAATAAAGCTAAATCGGGAATAATAATAATAATAATAATAGTAACAATAATGAAATGTAATAAACGGTAGGAAAATATATATATATGTACTTTAAATGGAAGATAATAATAAGAAGGCACAACATGATGAAAAGCAAAGATATGAATACACATAATTTTCTATATACATATACACGTGTAGTTTATTTAAAGACAATTTAGTTAAGTGTTTCATCCGAGATGAAATTCAACAAAAGACCATCAACATCTACATCATCATCAATTTCTTCAGTTGGTGTTTCAAATTCATTCCTGCTATCAGGATCTTCTTTGAGTTCGGATAAAATATCCAGGAATTCAGGATTACCTAACCATTGGTTGCTACTATTATTATTATTATTATCATTATTACAAGTAGAAGTAGTACTACACAGATGATTAATCGATGGAGGTGTAGGTGGTAAGAGATTTGAGTCAGTGTCATCCTCTGCGCCATAATCAAGAGACGCGGAAGAAGAGGAGCGTTTGAATTTGGATTGAGTTGCAGAAACATTTGACCAATTAGAAAAACAACTCCTTGTATCATCTCGTTCTAAATAATTATCAGTATAATTTGACCGATTGATAAGGTTAAACGATCTTCGTCCTCTGATTCGATCGGAATAATCTGTTGTACTACTAGTACTAGTAGATGTATGATGTGAACGTGGTAAAAGAAATGACATTTCTTGATCACCAATAGCTGCACGTTCTGCAGGAGTCACCTCATAAACACCATCAACAGATCGAGCACTAGAAATTAAAAATCACAATATTCTGTTGAAAATAATTTGTAAAAATAAAAAACCCGGAATCAATGGAAAATCATAAACTTTATTTTAAAGAAAAAAAAAGATTAATTAAATAAAATAAGAACACATTTTAGACATAACAACTAATCAGAAGGGGTTTTTTGTGGAGATTGTAGTAATTTCTACAGTTGAGATCATGAGTCAATTGAAGCTAGACCACCATGGAAAAAACCCACAATAGGACGAAACGGCCGTCCAGTGCTTCCAGGTTTTCAATGGTGTTCTAGCTTTAATTGACTCATGATTTCAACTGTTGAAATAACAACTAATATAGTCAAAATTAAATCGGATAACAATATACAACAACAAATACTGTATGAACACTTTAAAATGAAGAAATGTCGTTGAATCTCATTAACAAACTATACATAAACAATAAACATGATAACTAAATGACACAAAACTTACTGTTTAAACCAATCAGTATAGAATTAGTTAAGTTTATCAGATTCAAGTACAATTTGATAACATATATATAGTACAAAATCATACACAATAAGTAGTTTAGGGTATAGGAAAAACAAATTTCAATAAAAACAAAAGAAGTGATTCTCTTTACTACAAATTATTATTATTATTATTATTACAATTCAGTGATGTAAACTGAAACTAATCCAAACACAACGAGATCAGACTAACTAGTTTCAATATGATGACAGAATATTTTAAACGGGAAGGTTAATATTTTAGTAATTTAGATTGTTAAGCACGGTCGAGAAGTAGGATGATATTCAAAATAATTAACACGAAAGACTGGAATTCCAGTTGGGTGTGAGTTTCGATATGATAGTTGACATAATATTACTATCAGGTCGATTGATTTAGCGAAAATAAATTGCTATCCAGGACTAGATCGCAGATCAAGTTCAAAACCTTCAGGTATTTGATGAGCACTGCTGAAGAGTCTTCATGTTAAAACCAGACAGCTGTCTATTGCTTCCTAGTTTTGAATGGCCATATAACTGGCATCATTCCGTGATGTGCCCACAAATGCCTTGGTACGGCCGAGAGTGGGGAGAGTCAGCTCTCCCTCTACAAATGCTCTCACATGGCCACGTGCATACAACCACTGCCACGGAAGTCCTACTCACTACCTTCTCGTGGCATTACTGTTGTTTACGAAATTGAGAAGAAAAGCGAATATCCAGCGTTTATACCAGGTTGATGGATACGGTGGGTCTATCTAGGGGAGTAAAGAAAACCCCGATTCCAAACCAGTGTACATAGGCTACAGGATCCTAAGAAAACAAATGGCGCATGAACCTATTGTTGATGACCGGCCACCATGGGACTGACGTTGCTCCACTGCCTTGTGGATCAGACCTTTAATTCAAAGGCACCGGGTGTGGCTCCCTAAGAAAACTGCCTGCTTCGGTTTGGGCTCCCGGACAGTATCTTAGCCGTAACACAAATCGAATGATTTATGTGGCTCCTTGTACCAATGTTTGTCTTTAAATAAATAAATATATATATAAAATTCCGTGATGTAAACCATGAAACTTAACAATCTCCACAAACCTCTTATTGTAAACAAAAGCATATTGGAACAGAATGACACATCTATATGAATAAATTACAAATCAAAAGAAATCCAGTGAAATTACAACAGGAGTTTATGTAACATACCATTGAACTGCCTGGGGTTTATCTAATTCTTTTTAAAATTTAGTACGATCTCTTAGGTTAATGATCTCAAAGCTTTATCTCTAATCAGAAGGAATCTATGCAGAAACACATGTTAAAAAAATAGTTAGAACATATAAACCGACTGCTTAGTTAATTATTTGGATGTTGAGACAAGTCTAATTAGTAGAATCATTTGAGGTAATTATTTTCAGATTAATAAATATAAAGTAAACAAGGATAAATAAACCCTACTATTGTCGTAAGCAGCAAGTCTTTAATAAACTATGAAGGCATAAATTGCATAATGAAATAAAACTGACACAATTAAACGAACTAACAAGGAGGTTGTTTTCTTTTCTCACTAAAAACAAACAAACAAACAAACAAAAAGATAGATTACTTACAGTTTGTCATGACGTAGTAAATTATCGACAAGTTGAACCATTTTTCGATAAGTATCTAATATATAAGGACATTTAGGCCTTTCAGGTACTGGGAGACCGGCACGGACAAATTCTTTTTCAATTAATTTTAGATCATTTAAAGATTTTTCAAATAAAGTCAAATTATGCTGTTCTTCACGTAATAATTGATAGGCTATTTGTAAAACTTGTGGATATGATAGTTTATCAACTGATTTAGGACCATTACAATGACCAAGATATCGTAAATCATCATTTGAAAAACTACATCGAATCAATTCATAAATAACAGCAAGTTCACGTCGACGACTACGTTCTTGTTCATTGTGTTCATCTCTAGCACGTTTGTCAGGACGACCAGACGATCCATTGGTATCTTTTGAATCTGTTTTGACTGGACGGAATGGTTTATGACTAGTGGATATTAATGAACTTCGTGGATGTTTAGAAATATAAACTGGATCTTCATCTGAATCATATTCTTGGAGAGGGAGATTCTGAGATAGAGGAGTAATTAATTTTCGACGTTCTAAACGAGGAAAGTGCTGCTTCCGATGTCTGGATATCGGTTGACTAGACATTATTAATTCTAAAATATAATGGAATTTACATAGGATGTGAACAAAAAGAATAGAGAGCTAAATAATATGAGCCACTTATGGTTATACATAAAGATAGTGGCTAATTCAATATGACAGATAGTCTTGAGTATTGTATAACTACAGTATTTCATAAAAAAAATATGACTTATTTATTAGTGCAGGCGTATATGCTCAGTTTTTAGCTATACATGACACGCGAAATTACTTGAGAGTCTGAATGAAAGTGAATTAAATTCTGGAGCTCTGACCGAGTTGGTAGATACGGAGGATCTACCTATGGAGATTGAGGAACTCTGGAATATATGGGCTCTTCGATTCTGAAGGAATAAATGCATAAATCTATTTTGGTCACCGACTACAATGAGACTATTTTTTGATGTTGATACAGTGCCTTGTGAATTACACCTCAGTCGAAAGCTAGGGGAGCAGGCATCTAAAAAGCCTCCATTTTTGTACGAACATTCGGGTAGTGTAATCATTTTCAAGATGTTCTTCCGCCTTGTTATTCATGCAAATAATATCCACAATTGTTTTGTTACATTCATTGTTATTTTACATTCCGTTACTTATCTACTACTCTTTAGTCCCAATTTGTGTATTCTCGAACTCACCCAGCCGCTTGTCTGTGGATAGAGTTCTGTCCTATCTACGCGATTTCGATGCGGTGGATGATTACAATTCCAAATTCTTTCAAATATTTTTATTCAAAATGACCATTTTCAGTGTTCAACACTGATGCAGATGGAACAAATTTGGTCTCCCTAGCAGTTTCTCTTTGAGGTGGCCCTGATATTGCTTTAAGTAACAGAGTAAAGGCTGCACTAATCAATTGGATCCCAAATAAAGGTTGTTAGAATAGAAGGCTCCTTTAAATTGAGAAAGAACTAGCATTAGGAAAGACGTTTTTAGTAAGCTTTCTTATATTGCAGCCTAGATTCAATCAAAGATAAGTTTCACTACAAGTGGTCTTCAGAAAGTGAGTTCGGCGGATGTGACGCCAGACAAAGACTTGAGTGCATAAGTGGGATGCTCAGACACATAGAAGAGTTGTCTGTGTAGGCAGTGGGGGTTAGCTAGGAGCAGATCAGACAATCGTCTATTTCTAATCAGCAACAATTTTGACAGCTATAGTCGATGTAAAAACTGGCATTCTCACTTTGCAACTTAACCATGGACTTAGATTGGCATCATGACCAGCTACTGCTGAAATGGTTGTGTAGAAGACCTCTTATTTTGGGGTATTTATTGGGACTTTGTTAGTGGTTTAGTTTACGGCAAGCGTATCTAAGGTTTTAATGGTCAGAAAACGTTTAATCCCAAAAGGATTGGTAGAAGAAAATTGGCTGTAGCTTTTGCTGCAACCAAATATTAAAGTTACCTCTAAGGTTAGTAGCCAGTCTACCGAGAAGTGTAGATGAGTATTAGGTGTCTTTTCCTGACGCCAGGAAAAATAGAGTCCCGCCACTTGTGGTTGTGCAAGATGTCCTATTTATAAGCACCAGGCTTCTGCAAGCCTTATAAATCTTTTCGAGACACGTCGGTTCACTCGGGAGGTCCACTTATCGACTTAGAATACGCAGATGACATAGTCCTGTTTGGTGAAGACACTGACAAAATGCAGAGTCTTCTGGTAGCACTAAGCAACAATGCCAGAATGTTTGGAATGCGCTACTCTCCCTCGAAGTGCAAGTTGTTGCTTCAGAACTGGTCTGCGTCAACACCTGAACTAAGGATAGGGAGTGAAGTAGTCGAACGCGTTGACAACTTCACTTATCTTGGAAGTCTGATCAGCCCTAATGGGTTGGTGTCTGACGAAATCTCAGCACGGATTCGAAAAGCTCGTTTGGCTTTTGCCAACTTGCGTCACCTTTGGCGAAGGCGAGATATCCGTCTATCAATAAAAGGACGAGTATACTGCGCGGCAGTCCGTTCGGTTTCACTTTACGGCAGCGAAACATGGCCATTAAGAGTAGAAGACACTCGTAAGCTACTAGTATTTGACCACAGATGCCTCAGAAATATTGCTGGCATCTGCTGGGATCACCGGGTAAGTAATAGTGAGGTTAGACGCAGGGTATTAGGGAATGATGGTAAATCAGTTGATGAGGTTATGAATCTTCACCGAATGAGATGGTTGGGCCACGTGTTACGTATGCCTGAACACCGACTACCACGACGTGCAATGCTATCCGGTATTGGAGATGGTTGGAAGAAAGTTAGGGGCGGCCAAACCAAAACGTGGCATCAGTGCTTGAAGACACTAACTTCTAGTCTGAGCCATATTGGTAGATGCAGACTACTTGGTTGGGGTCCGCGTGACTTTCGTAACCAATGGTTGGAGACTCTTGGTGACATGGCTTAGAATCGATCACAATGGCGTCGGTGTATACACTCTTTGTCTTCCCTTAAACTAAGAGATTAAAATCACTTCATATCTTTCTTTCTACGAACCAATTCTTTCTTCTTGTACTATATCTCTATATGCAATCTTTCTCTTATATATTACCACCTTTGACCTAACCACTGCTATGAATCCGGTGTTCATCTCGTTATGCTGATGCGGTATGGTAACCTGGACCGATGCACATATGTGCCTGGTCCTACGTTGTAGCTGACTGACTGACTGACGAGTCGAAAACGACCGATCCATACTGTAACTTCCGGAAAATGTTTTAACTCATTTGAACCAATGGTACTAAAAACAAATGTGTAAGTGGTTTATTTATTTATTTGAACAAACATTGGTACAAGGCACCAAATAGATATACGCCGCATAAATCATTCGATTTATGTGAGGGCAGGTATACTAGCCCGTCAACCAAACCTAAGCAGGCGGTTCTCTTAGGGAGCCACACCCGGAGCCTTTTCATTAAAGGCCTGACCCACAAGGCAGTGGAGAAACGTGAGGAGATGCAGTACCACGGTAGCACGTGACCGACAATTGGTTCATACGCTATTTATTCATTCGGGATCCTGAAGCTCATGTGCACCACTGGTTTGGAATCAGGGTTTCCTAACTCCCCTAGGTGGGTCCTTTATATCCACCGACCCAATTAAAGTACCGGACATTTGCTTTTCGTCCTCTCAATTTCGTAACCAACAGTAATGCCAGGAGAAGGTAGTGAGTAGGACTTTCGTGGCAGTGGTTGTATGCACGTGGTCATGTGAGAGCATTTGGGGGACAATCTGTGAGGGTGATAAAACGCTAATTAGTAACACCTAGTGACGTCTTCAACGATCAGTGTTTTGAGAAACGTTCAGCTGGTCTGCTGTCTCAGCAACATCAATTAGATTATCCTGTTGTCCATATTCAGTGATAACTATAAAACCTAACGGGAAGAGTCCAGAAGGAACTCACTCTTGAAGCAGCATAAACATGGACAACTTACCTCCTGCTCTTTAAGGCTTGCATCATCTAGGAACAAATATAAGGGAATAAGTTTGCTTTCGACTGGGTATAAACTACTATAATTTACAGACTGATCAAAGCCAATAAAAGACTATTTCACAAGAAATAGATTGGCTTTTGTTCTGGTCGTGGATTTGTTGATCATATGTTTACACTGTGCCGAATGCTACGGTACTAACATACTTTCAGCAGGTTAACAATTACTGTTTCTTAATAATAGGGCCATTTTTCGTTTGCTGAGAGAGGGTGTCTGTGAATTTCACAAACATTTTGAAGGCTCTGTACATAAACAAAACAGGCAGTGAGGGCCCATAACCATCTTTTTCCATTGACCATTTATTTGAACACGCAAATATCGGTACAAGTGGGGCACCAAATGCATATGCGCCAGACAATAACAATGTTATGAAGAGTTAGAGAATGTAAAGTGCGTATAAGAAGAAGGAGAACGACGTACAGAAATTAGTGTGAAAGTGAAATAATAATGGAAGAGGCAATTTAATTGACAAAACACAATCAGAAGGAATCCTTTCAGTTAAAGTTACTTTATTGTTTATGAAGTAAAAGTAAAAAGTTACGGCAAGACCGGCACTAGCTTCTATTCTGAACCATGTCTGATTACGTCTCAACCCACTGTGTTGCACCATCTCTACGACCTCAACCAGGGAATCGTGAAGGACCAACAGAAACCAGTTCTGTACATCTTTCATACCATGATACAACCTAACCACCTCTCCGGTTTTCCAGCTGGTCCCAGCGTCGGCAAACAATGCGCGACGTGGAATTCTCTGACACGACATTCGTAGGACATGTCCAAGCCACCGAAGTCGATGTTTCAAGGTAGTTACACTATCATTGCTGTAACCGAACACATGCCATGTTAGTAATGTGTAGCTTGTTTCGATGTGATTGTCAAACTGAAATCAAATGTAGTTTTCGATTGGCGTTTGATAAACCTCTGAGTTTATGCTATCGGGAAAGGAAATCGTCGAAAGCTTGATGATTGTTGTAACTAACATCATGGAATGATCTTAATTAGACAACCGAGACTTTCTTCAAGTGACAATTTATGTGTCTGGATCATTGCAGTAAAATGACCAGAATCACTTAAAGGATGCAAGTTACCAAACTAATATCATCAATGAAGTTTTAGAATAATGATATTTGGTATAACTAATTTGTTGGAACATGATGAGCTTACATTTACGCAATGGCGTTGAGCGTGAGACAAATGTAGAAGTGGAAAACTGGTCGTTGAATTACCAGTATTGTACCTGTATCCACACTAATTATTAAAGCATATTTTCGAGAACGTTATCTATGTGTGAAATACCCTTTAATTTACTACCATACAATTACATGGGTTTGATTAGAACCACTTATAAGTACCCAATGAAAACTTAATTAATGACCGTAAATCGTCACACCCCATGTAATGCAATGGTCATTAGTCTTCAGTAATAAGGATAGGTCTATCGACCTATATTAATCCTTGCAGTTTGTAATACTGTGGAGGTCCAACCTCGTTTTGAATATATTAACAGACGGTGCTGATATTACGTGTTCCGGTAGAGAATTCCAGTAATTCGCTACTCGGTGCGAGAAACGGAACTCCAGACGTAAACGGTTTGATCTCGGTTTTTGAACTTTCTTCGAATGTCCTCTCAAATGATCAGTTCTAGACGGAAGCAAAAGATAAGACATATTAATACCAAGGTCATCGTTCAGTGTACGACAGGCCAATATTAGACCACCCCGTAAGTTAAGGTGTCTCAGTCTGTCTTCATAAGATAGGTCAGATAGACCTTGTACCATCTCAGTGATTTACAATAAAACAAACTAAGAAAGCATTTATCAAATGAATTATTAAACATAAATAAAAATATCTGTGAATACGGACACATTAATAAAATTATACATTTCAAGTAAATTTGTTCAAGCTACAATATTGTCTAGCAACTATTTTCCAGTGTCAAATCGAGGTGTGCGGCTGATCATTACAGAGTTATGAGCAGGCCAGCACGCCACTACGCACCTAAGCAATCAGTCGAACCGTACTATAAAGCAATAGAGTTTACAGAGGCTTGATACAACGTAATTACGAACTGAGTCACTAGTTTGACAGAAATTTTTATGTGAAGCAACAGTGAAGTAATTATAAACGGGGTTTTACGATATCGAGCTAACTGTCTAAACGGGACGACATTGGATTGATTGAAGGCAACTGACAATCAATCTGTCTTTATTAATTACTGTTCGGAAGTTAGTGTAATCGGCTTATTTTAAAAATGAAGGAAACACTTATATTCACGCATACTTTCTGCCAATATGAAGATCCAACTACATTTCACTATCTATGTGTCAAAAAGTGAGGGAATCAAGCATCTCAAGACCTGTCTTTACCCTGAGGATGAAAAGTTTACAGGTGATCTGACTTATCATTACGCAATGAATAGTTACAACCCACAAGTTGGCTTTATTAATAACCACTAAACATATATCACATTTACGGATTAAAGTAATTGTAATGTACAGTGTAGCGTAAGGTACATACATATAAAAATATTAGGAAAAATACTCACAAAAATCAAGGCTAGACAACGTGAGTAATTCAAATATTAGAGCCGTACCGCAGCCAATTGTAAATCCAATATTCAATATATTCATCAACAGGGTTCACAAACCAATAGATTTATTTGCTTTCACTTCTTGTTGTTTCACGACGGTTTCATTTATTTGATAATATCTAATGTATGGCATCCTAGTCATTGTTTGTAGTGCTGGAGTGGTAAGTCGATTATTTGAGCGCCAAGAGGAGATGACTGTTTCAGAAGATAAGTGAGTAAAGTAATTAATTTGTAATCTGTAAGAAGAGGGCGAACGGGGATGATCATAAGGCAGGTCGTAAGTGGTTTCTGATTATATGGTAGCGATAACTGTGGTGATTTTTGAGACATGCATCAGACACAGCAGGTTCAACATGGGGACGTTATTCGATGAGTGAGTACATGTTTATCAAGTCTATTTTCTTAGCTATCGAATGAGGGTCTGTGATCATCCCAGACGGGGTAAATCTTGATGAGAGAGAGTGAGAGACTACCTGGGTATTTTTTATGTGCAATTTTTGTGCGACTGCATCAAGGAGCATAACGATGATGTTTTGATAATATGCTCGTTTTGGGGTGGCTTGGAATATCGAATATTTCATATCCCATTATTATATCACCTTATGTTCCCCTGCAGCTCAAAACGGCTAATCCGAAGTGCTGGAATTTGTCCTTGTAGGTTTTATGTTCTAGATCTATCACCCACTTGGTTGCCCATCTTCGTACTAGATCTATATCTCTTATGAAGAAAGGAGGCTCAAGGACTGTATGAACTTTAAGGTGTGGCCGTTCGTACACTCTAAACAGTGTTGGAGTGATCAAATCCAGTTGTCCAACCATTAGCTAGTAAGTTAAGTTTTCTTTGGTTGTAGCCCATGTGTAATTTGAATTAGTGTCTAGTCTGTTTGCGGTTACAAACCCAATATCATGTTCTGAAAAGGCAATCGAGGGCGGATTCTCATAAACGGTGTCAGTGTTTTGTATCGACTGAGGCAGAATGTTCATGACTTGACATTTCGGCAGGTCAAGTTTTAACCCAATGTCTGCTTCTTATTCCCCTATTGTTGTAAGGTCCTTTATAAACTCAAGGGAATCCTTTTCGCTCCGTATTAACCCCCAGATCTTTGCGTCGTTTACGTAGTCCAGTGCCCTCGAGCTAATTTTGCCTAGAAGACAGTTGGTAAATATCAAGAACAGGAGTGAACCTAAGATTGTTTCTTGTTAAAGTTCTGATGTTGTGACCTCCTTGTAGTTGTCATGGATCTAAAGGGTGCCTGAGTAGGTCACGGACCGCTGTACTGATTGCTTCTGCGCACTGTTTCAGGATTGTCAGTGGGATGTTGTCATATCCTGATGACTTTCTTAAACATAAGGATTCTAGCTTACTTAATAATAGTCCAAGAGTTAGTTGGATATCTCCCAGACTCTCAGCTGTTACTGGAATTCCGGTGTTCAACGCTTGCAGGCTGCTAGTTTAGCTTGTCTGTGAAGTTGGCACTAAAGATGTCAGCTATCTCTTAGTTAGTGAGATTTTTGCCATTTGGCTCTTTAAGAGTAAAAATTCCCTGGTTTAAAGGCTTTCTCCTAGTCATGAATCCGAAGAGATGTTTAGAATTAGCTTGTATTTCGACTGCGAGCTTCACCTGAAAACATTTCCCATAATTTCGGAGTTTGTATCTATTTCTCAATGCCGATTAAGAAATTTTATCAGTTTCTTCAAGGAGTCATTCCACTTATACCAGGCTCTCCTTTGGCTTCTAGCAAGCGTTCTGTGCTTCTCTTAACCCTGGATCTTTGCTTTCCATGTGTTTACTTACCCTGAAGTACAATGCGTTGAATGACATTCTGAATCATGTCTAACTAACTTCGAATGGTCATTCACAGTTAGCCTCCAACATTACCGTAGCCGTAGCGGGTGTTGAATACTCTTCCTCATGGTCATGTAGTCTGGCTTGGTATAGGTAACGTAGGAGGCGTCCTCATCCTTCGCAAGTATCTCGTTCGTAATGACGTCAACCATGACATGGTGGAACATACGTATACAAATATTATGAAAATTACTCACATACTGCAAAGCTCGACAACGTGAATAGTTCGAATATGAGAGCCATACCTCAGACAAGTATAAATATACTTTCAACGCATAACCTGTTGTGAGCAGGACAAATACTCAACTGCACATACAACAGGTACATTTATTCCGGGCAGAAGATAATAAGCCGTAAGTGAGTACACAGTAATCGAGAGTTATCATTTCAAGACCCTCCATTGAGGAACTGTGTTAATACATGCTGGAAGAGCATTTTGGATAGGGCCTGTTTTTTCCTGAGGTATTTATACTAGTTAGTGATTACGATGTTTTGACTGCGCACTTATAACGAATCCCAAACTTAGTTCTTTCATCATAAGCAGAGATGGATAGTGGCCAGCAGTGGAATTTGAGACGTGCATTTTGTCCCATTTGGGAGTCATCAGCTGGACGTACCTGCATACCAGAGATAATGTTCACTCTGGGACTCAAACCCAGTACCAACCACATCAAATTCCATCGTGTTATCCATTTACATGTAGTAGATAGCCATTAGTCTATGGAATGAGGTGAAGTTTAATTTATTTTTACACTGGTAGTTTGAATCTTCTGATTGATGCTCGGAAATACAACTGGTCGGTGCCTTTCTGGCATATGTGCATCCTGTGCCAGAAAAAGACCAACCAATTGTTTTCCTATACATCATTGGGAGATTAAAACAACCTAACCAAAAATGAATAATACGTCCAGTTGTGTTAAGGTAGTTCTATCATGTCTATTTTACGCTAATCGGGAACGGGAATGAATCGAGTGGTGTCCAAGTTGACTCGTCTTCTCTCTCTCTTGATTGTCAGCCAGTCAGGTGACAAAATATGTTCGCTCTCAGTTCATACTCTCTCATTTCTATCTTCAGAGTTAAACCAGTTTTCTTGTTGTATAAAAGCCTTAACCCATATTATGACAAATTCTTTTCTGTATACTACTGAGTAGACGGACCAAGGACGTAAGACTACCTGCCTTGAAATGCATTACTTCGTGAACTTTCAGTTGGAAAATCTGTTTGAATACTTTCAGTTGTCACGTTTCTGTTGCGATGGAGACTGTGACTGAATAATTGGATACGACCAAGTTCTTAAGTTTTTGAAAATCATGTTTGATAGTTTGAAATCTGTGGTATGACCAGGAAAAAATTTAAAGATGACAAAATTGTAGTCCATTTCTTTACATTTATCGGAATGCATGCCTGCAGCTTACTAAAGATTTTGACACTTCCACGTAAGCCTATTTCACTTCCTCAAGAAACTCTCGAATAATTACTACTAAATCATGTGGAGTGTACTTATTACTAATGTCGTGAAACAGCCAAATTTCATAACGTAACTCGTCAGAGCAACGAGAACGTTAGAGAGTTTGTCCTAAAAATGTAATTTAGTTGTAGACTTCATATGATTGCGATGTGTTCCTCCACAGGTGCTAGAACCGGATGTATTAGTTATGATAAAGTGCATGAAACTAGCGTTCAAGATATCAAGAATTGTATCACATTGCTTGTTAGCCTTAATTTGATTCATGCCCAGGGTCATATGGATAGGCTCTCAATTAACGATAATACCAGTTTTCGTGAAACCATGAGAAGCGATTCGTTGAAAAATTGAAGACTGGTAAACAAAGGTAGGCACAACTGCAGCAAATTTATATCATTTGATAAGCTTTATTCACGTAATTCGCCATACTATATGCTTCAAAAGTGCTAAAATCGGACACATCAAGTGGGTTTGTAAATGTACTGTTCATGATATGCAACATGTTGTTCGGATTTGATGAGATTGGATATTTCTAATAATCACGTGCTATCTTCATCCACGATTCTGAAGCGCGCTTTCCACATTTAGAAGCATTTATATACCTTCCCTCGTTTATTTTATAACTTTATTTTTGAAACGGGCAGTGTAACGAAAAGAATACTCTGTAAATCCCTCCAAAGCACGTTATTGGGTAGTATCGTCATCCGTTTGTCTTTTCCTGTCTTATATTCTAAATGTTCTTCAGGTCTTTTTTAACCATTTTGTTCTTCATTCCTCCTTATCTGGGCTTTTATTATTTGACTTTGTTTAAAATTTGCCCTTAGTTGCTCAATGTACTGCTGGGTGTTTCCGGACCACTGGGGATGAAGTTGTATTTAATCAGGCTAACAGTCTAAGCGTGTTTCAGTGTAAGATTTTTAACCAGTGACAGTCTGCTCGGAATGGTTACTGGAATACTGGCAGATAGATATACAGTCTCATCGTTTTGGGAATGTGTTTTCAGTGGCTGCATTCAGGAGTCGATTTAAACAAGACCACTATGGAAAACCTGGAAACACTGTACGGCAGCGTCTCTCAAGTATGAGGCTGACTGAAGACAATGGTGGACAGTTGCGATATATCATGGATAATTTAAGTTAGACACTACCACCGTAGTATGTCGGCTGAGTAGCCTGGGGGTTGAGCGTTCGCGCGCGATGCCGAAGGTCCTGATTCCAGGTACCGCATGCTGGATCGTGGGTGCAAGCTGCAGCGGAGTTCCGTATAGGGACGAAACAACTGTCCAGTGCTTCCAGGTTTCCCATTGTGGTCTAGCTTAAATCAACTCATGAATTCGACTCTTAATTTACTAAAATTTCCACAAATCTTCATTTGGACAACATTTTTATCAAAGTCTTATGTGTTAACTATTCCGTTTGCTGTTTGGTACAGACTGTATTTTTTGAGGCATTTCGTATTTTTAATAAAATTTGTTCTCCTTCTCAAATTAGAGCCCTTTAAATCGGACATAGAGTTTGTGTTTTGAAATAATTTTATACGTGTCGCTCTAATGCGCTTTATACTCTATCAGCACTATAGAACTGGTTAAAGTACACAGTGATGTGACGAAAGATATTTCTTACCCGAACTCCAAGGAAGAGGCGATAAAGGATAACAACTGCCACAACCCAGTAATCCTAATTTCCCCACCTTTGGATTTATTAGGG